AAGTATATTCTTGCATCCTGAATTACTTGACACCAGAGAAACTCATCATAACAACATTTCTGCAGCATTGAAGGTCCCCAAGAACACAGTGGCCTCCATAATTCTTAAATGGAAGAAGTCTGGAACCACCAAGACTCTTCCTAGAGCTGGCCGCCTGGCCAAACTAAGCAATCGGGGGACAAGGGCCTTGGTCAGGGAGAACCCGATGGTCACTCTGACAGAGCTCCAGAGTTCATCTGTGGAGATGTGAGAACCTTCCAGAAGTACAACCATCTCTGTAGCACTCCAATAATCAGGCCTTTATGGTAGAGTGGCCAGACAGAAGCCACTCCTCAGTAAAAGGCACATGGCAGCCTGCTTGGAGTTTGCCAAACGGCATCTAAAGGACTATCAGACTATGACAAACAAGATTCTCTGGTCTGATGAAACCAAGATTGAACTCTTTGGCCTGAATGCCAAGCATCACGGCTGGAGGAAACCTGGCACCATCCCTATGATGAAGCATGGTGGTGGCAGCATCATGCTGTGGGGATGTTTTTCAGCGGCAGGGACTGGGAGACTAGTCAGGATCGAGGGAAAGATGAACAGAGCAAAGTACAGAGAGATCCTTGATGAAAACCTGCTCCAGAGATCTCAGGACCTCAGACTGGGGCGAAGGTTCACATTCCAACAGGACAACGACCCTAAGCACACAGCCTAGACAATACATGAGTGGCTTCAGGACAAGTCTCTGAATGTCCTTGAGTGGCCCAGCCAGAGCCCAGACTTGAACACGATCGAACATCTCTGGAGAGACCTGAAAATATCTGTGCAGCGACGCTCCCCATCCAACCTGACAGAGCTTGAGAGGATCTGCAGAGAAGAATGGGAGAAACTCCCCAAATACAGGTGTGCCAAGCTTGTAGCATCATACCCAATAACACTTAAGGCTGTAATCGCTGCCAAAGGTGCTTCAACAAAGTACTGAGTAAAGGGTCTGATTACTTATGTAAATGTGATATTTTGGGGTATTCTGTGTAAATGATGGGAAAAAAACAATTTAATCAATTTTAGAATAAGTCTGTAACGTAAACAAACTGTGGAAAAAGTCAAGAGGTCTGAATACTTTCCGAATGCACTGTGTGTGTGTGTGTGTGTGTATATATATATATATATATATATATATATATAAATATACAGTACTAGCCAAAACTTTGGACACACCTAATCATTCAAGGGTTTTTCTTTATTTTTACTATTTTTTACATTGTAGAATAATAGTGAAGACATCAAAACTATGAAATAACACATATGGAATCATGTAGTAACCAAAAAAGTGTTAAACATATATTTTATATTTGAGATTATTCAAAGTAGCCACCCTTTGCCTTGATGACAGCTTTGCATACTCTTGTCATTCTCTCAACCAGATTCATGAGGTAGACACCTGGAATGCATTTCAATTAACAAATGTGCCTTGTTAAAAGTTAATTTGTGGAATTTCTTTCCTCCTTAATGCGTTTGAGCCAATCAGTTGTCTTGTGACAAGGTAGGGTGGGTGGGGTATACAGAAGATAGCCCTATTTGGTAAAAGACCAAGTCCATATTATTGCAAGAACAGCTCAAATAATCAAAGAGAAACGACAGTCCATCATTACTTGAAGACATGAAGGTCAGTCAGTCCTGACAATGTGACAAAGTTTTTTCAAGTGCAGTCTCAAAAACCATCAAGCGCTATGATGAAACTGGCTCTCATGAGGACCACCACAGGAATGGAAGACCCAGAGTTACCTCTGCTGCAGAGGATAAGTTAATTAGAGTTACCAGCCTCAGAAATTGCAACCCAAATAAGTGCTTCACAGAGTTCAAGTAACAGACACATCTCAACATTAACTGTTCAGAGGAGACTGCGTGAATCAGGCGTTCATGGTCGAATTGCTGCAAAGAAACCACTACTAAAGGACACCAATAAGAAGAAGAGACTTGCTTGGGCCATGAAACACGAGCAATGGTTATTAGAAAGGTGGAAGTCTGTCCTTTGGTCTGAAGTCCAAAATTGAGATTTTTGGTTCCAACCGCTGTGTCTTTGTGAGACGCGGTGTGGGTGAACGGATTACCTCCACATGTGTAGTTCCCACGTGAAGAATGGAGGAGGCACACGTGAAGCATGGAGGAGGCACACTTAACCAGCATGGCTAACACAGCATTCTGCAGCGATACGCCATCCCATCTGGTTTGGGCTTAGTGGGACAATCATTTGTTTTTCAACAGGACAATAACCCAACACACCTCCAGGCAGTCTAAGGGCTATTTGACCAAAAAGGAAAATGATGGAGTGCTGCATCAGATGACGTGGCCTCCACATTCCCCGGACCTCAACCCAATTGAGATGGTTTGAGATTAGTTTGACGGCAGAGTGAAGGAAAAGTAGCCAACAAGTGCTCAGCATATGAGGGAACTCCTTCAATATTGTTGGAAAAGCATTCCAGGTGAAGCTGGTTGAAAGAATGCCAAGAGTGTGCAACTTTTGACTGGTACTATATACAGTGGGGGAAAAAAAGTATTAAGTCAGCCACCAATTGTGCAAGATCTCCCACTTAAAAAGATGAGAGAGGCCTGTAATTTTCATCATAGGTACACGTCAACTATGACAGACAAATTGAGAAAAAAAATCCAGAAAATCACATTGTAGGGTTTTTTATGAATTTATTTGCAAATTATGGTGGAAAATAAGTATTTGGTCACCTACAAACAGGCAAGATTTCTGGCTCTCACAGACCTGTAACTTCTTCTTTAAGAGGCTCCTCTGTCCTCCACTCGTTACCTGTATTAATGGCACCTGTTTGAACTTGTTATCAGTATAAAAGACACCTGTCCACAACCTCAAACAGTCACACTCCAAACTCCACTATGGCCAAGACCAAAGAGCTGTCAAAGGACACCAGAAACAAAATGGTAGACCTGCACCAGGCTGGGAAGACTGAATCTGCAATAGGTAAGCAGCTTGGTTTGAAGAAATCAACTGTGGGAGCAATTATTAGGAAAAGGAAGACCACTGATAATACAAGACCACTGATAATCTCCCTCGATCTGGGGCTCCACGCAAGATCTCACCCCTTGTGGTCAAAATGATCACAAGAACGGTGAGCAAAAATCCCAGAACCACACGGGGGGACCTAGTGAATGACCTGCAGAGAGCTGGGACCAAAGTAACAAAGCCTACCATCAGTAACACACTACGCCGCCAGGGACTCAAATCCTGCAGTGCCAGACGTGTCCCCCTGCTTAAGCCAGTACATGTCCAGGCCCGTCTGAAGTTTGCTAGAGTGCATTTGGATGATCCAGAAGAGGATTGGGAGAATGTCATATGGTCAGATGAAACCAAAATATAACTTTTTGGTAAAAACTCAACTCGTCGTGTTTGGAGGACAAAGAATGCTGAGTTGCATCCAAAGAACACCATACCTACTGTGAAGCATGGGGGTGGAAACATCATGCTTTGGGGCTGTTTTTCTGCAAAGGGACCAGGACGACTGATCCGTGTAAAGGAAAGAATGAATGGGGCCATGTATCGTGAGATTTTGAGTGAAAACCTCCTTCCATCAGCAAGGGCATTGAAGATGAAACGTGGCTGGGTCTTTCAGCATGACAATGATCCCAAATACACCGCCCGGGCAACGGAGTGGCTTCGTAAGAAGCATTTCAAGGTCCTGGAGTGGCCTAGCCAGTCTCCAGATCTCAACCCCATAGAAAATCTTTGGAGGGAGTTGAAAGTCTGTGTTGGCCAGCGACAGCCCCATAACATCACTGCTCTAGAGGAGATCTGCATGGAGGAATGGGCCAAAATACCAGCAACAGTGTGTGAAAACCTTGTGAAGACTTACAGAAAACGTTTGACCTGTGTCATTGCCAACAAAGGGTATATAACAAAGTATTGAGAAACTTTTGTTATTGACCAAATACTTATTTTCCACCATAATTTGCAAATAAATTCATTAAAAATCCTACAATGTGATTTTCTGGATTTTTTTTTCTCATTTTGTCTGTTATAGTTGACATGTACCTATGATGAAAATTACAGGCCTCTCTCATCTTTTTAAGTGGGAGAACTTGCACAATTGGTGGCTGACTAAATACTTTTTTTCCCCACTGTATATATATATGTATATATATATATATATATATACACATACAGTACCAGTCAAAAGTTTGGACACACCTACTCATTCAAGGGTTTTTCTTTATTTTTACTATTTTTTACATTGTAGAATAATAGTGAAGACATCAACACTACGAAATAACACATATGGAATCATGTAGTAACCAAAAAAGTGTTAAACAAATCAAAATATATTTTATATTTGAGATTCTTCAAATAGCCACCCTTTGCCTTGATGACAGCTTTGCACACTCTTGGCATTCTCTCAACCAGCTTCATGAGGTAGTCACCTGGAATGCATTTCAATTAACAGGTGTGCCTTCTTAAAAGTTAATTTGTGGAATTTCTTTCCTTCTTAATGCGTTTGAGCCAATCAGTTGTGTTATGTTAAGTTATGTGGGTATACAGAAGATAGCCCTATTTGGTAAAATACCATATCGACGAAGCGCACACTATAATATTTGAAGATGAAACATGTTCCAATAACACCGTAATTAGAAATCCCAAGCAACGAACCTTGTGGACTCTCACCTTACACTGTAGTCAGAAAGTCTTGCTACTGTAGATGTCTTTATGAATGGAGAAACACAGTGCCACCAAATACAACTTCATCTATGTCCTACTACAGCCTGTTCTACACCACTACTACTGAAAGTCCAAATAGAGAAAAAAAGAGGAGGTAAGGGCAGGGAGTACGGGAAACAAGAGAGGGATAGGAGGGAGGGAAGAGGGAGAGGAAGACCAGTAAAAGAGTGAGGGAAGGGGGGGAGAAGAAAAAAAGCCTTTTGGATTTCTCCCTTCCCTTTCACTTTTTAGAACCCGCCTCCATTCATTATCAGCAGCAGCCTTATAAATGCAGCCTGTTGATGTTGTTTGTGAGTTCCACTGACACACCACACTACAGCCCATCTCAGAGAAGACCACCATAGGCCCAGGCTGCAGCCAAGATGAGAGAGTTCAAGAGCAAGGCATTCTGGAGGGCCGTACTGGCCGAGCTCGTGGGGATGACCATGTTCATATTCCTCAGCATCTCAGCTGCAATTGGGAACTCAAACAACACCGCTCCTGACCAGGAGGTGAAGGTTTCTCTGACCTTTGGTCTGGCCATCGCCACGCTGGCCCAGAGTTTGGGCCACATCAGTGGAGCCCACCTGAATCCAGCGGTGACACTGGGCATGCTGGCCAGCTGCCAGATCAGCGTGTTCAAGGGGGTGATGTACATCGTGGCTCAGATGCTGGGCTCTGCTCTGGCCAGTGCTATTGTCTACGGAACCCGGCCAGAGGAAAATGCTGCACTAGGGGTCAATGCTGTGAGTGGTACATTTTGGTTAATATGTTTCAGAATGTAAATTTCAATTGAACAATTTGCTGGTGTTGTTTCATTAGAAATGTTGGCTTTCAATTCCATTTAATGGGAAATGTTTGCAGTGTGCAATTTCTTGATAAATGTATATTGTATCTCATAGTTGTTGGGAAACAGTAATGCATGTGAACCTGCATGCACTTCATTGATAAAATAGTTGATTGAACTTAGTTTAATTAAGTTAGACTCAATGATTTTTGAAGGGACTCAAATGGGATGCCATTCATGTTTGATTAGAGTGTACTTGGATGCACCGGCTGCAAACAGTTGACAAACAGAATCATGTGATGTTTTTTTGTACTCACACTAACTCATACTAAGCATAGGTGCTTCTGCTGTCCTCTAGTGAATATAGGATGTACAGCTGCATGGTAGTTACTTTCCCATGCCAGCAAAACCACGCCTCCTATAGACACCAAGTTATATCTGTCTTTTAAGCTATTGATACAGAGGATCATCATATCTATTGGCATTAACGTAATTCTAAATGATCTAAATTGAGCATTAGCAAAGTCTGTAAGATAACATATCTTTCAATCATGTACAATTTCAATGAGTGAGCAAACTAAGACTTGTTCAGACTTTGCCAAATTATAATTACACTATAATCAGGCTGATTTAGATTTCAAATGAGATTTTTTCTCCTCATCCTCCACTTCACCAGTGAAGCCTTTGCTTTGCCAGCTATTTAGAATAGCACAAAGTAGTTGAGAAAATCATCCATCACGCTGATGCACACTGACAAATTGTTTTTGTTTGTTTCCCCCTCTGCCCCCCTCCTTTCCCCTCGTAGCTAAATGGTGTCAGTGCCAGCCAAGGCGTTGGCATCGAGCTCCTGGCTACCTTCCAGCTGGTCCTGTGTGTCATAGCAGTGACTGATAAAAGGCGGCGTGATGTCACCGGCTCTGCCCCCCTGGCCATCGGGCTCTCTGTCGCTCTGGGACACTTGGCAGCCGTAAGTTACTTATAGTAGTTTGTCAACAAGGTATCTCCTCTGACACATGCATCTGATTAACAAAGCATGGATTTAGAAAGTGTTATTGTGATAAATCACCATTGAATGAAAGCTTAATTTTACTCAGTGCAAATGTTGACACTTGAATTTACCCCTTAATCCTACAACCATAAACTATTATTTCAATAGATTTTACAACAGATCTTCTTATCCCTCATATTGTCGTCATATATTTCTCTTGTTGTTGTTGTTGTGTACAGATCAGCTACACAGGCTGTGGTATCAACCCTGCCCGATCCTTTGGACCAGCTTTGATCATGAATGATTATACAAATCACTGGGTAAGTGGAGAGCATGTGTGGGCAGGCACGTGTGTTTTCAGATTCCTTGCATTTAGTGTGACATCAATTCCATGACAAGTAAATTCAATAAACTTGTAAAAGGATTACCAAAGCTGATCTACTTTCAATAAAGAAGTTACTGAGTGACAGCATCTCTATTGTTTCATTGTAAAGTCCAAGATATAACTATTGAAAGCAAAGTTAAAGTTAACCCTGTAATATTTGTCTCCAATCTGTTGATTAATCGATTGACTTCTTTGCACCATGGCAGGTGTACTGGGTGGGGCCAATGAGTGGAGGTGTGGCAGCTGCTTTGGTCTATGACTTCCTACTGTATCCCAAATCTGAGGACTTCCCTGAACGCATGAAGGTCCTTGTTAGTGGCCTGGTGGGAGACTATAATGTTAATGGAGAGGAGACTGCTGCTGTGGAAATGTCATCAACAAAGTAGTGTTGTCATAGCAACACCAAATAGTGTATAGGACTTTAGATTATCTACCAACAGTATACTCCTGTAAAGAAAACCTTGACATTTCCTTTAAAATGGCAGCAGTTGAATTGTTATTTCAAAATAATGATAAACAATTTCAAATAAGAGGAGCATTTTTATTTTGATGTGAAGTATTAGGCCTGTTTCATTGAAAATCACACCACTGAACTACCGATTAGTAGGCAAATTGTCACTTGAGTATCACAGGAGGTTGGTGGCACCTTAATTGGGGAGGACGGGCTCGTGGTAATAGCTGAAGCCAAATTAGTGGAATGGTATCAAATACATCAAACACATGATTTCCATGTATTTGATGCCATTCCATTCGCTCTGTTCCGGCCATAAGTATGAGCCGTCCTCCCTTCAGCAGTCTCCACTGTTGAGTATTCACTTCAATTTCTAAACATCTTTAACAAGAGTTGTTGGAACATCTTGCTCTTTGTTAAAATATTTCCCATATCAGTATTCTATATATAGAACTATTTGTTTTTGTATATTTTCTATGTACCTGTTTATGTAAGAACTTTTTATTTCTTGATATATATGTATTTCTGTGTGCACCCTTTTGTACGTAAATAAAACACCAGATGTTAACAGATGTTCCCCTCTTGGCATTTGTCTCTTCATAAACTGTTTACTTTAGCAATATCCAGGGACGGCCTGTTCAATAGGGCGATATGGGCGACGCACTGCCAAACGGGAAAAGGAAGGGATTTTTTTTCTAATCAATTATATCACGGCAACAGTAGTTATCAGTGTTCACGTCTGATCTGCCAGCCACTAAATGTCAAATCAGGCTAAAGTCGTGCTTCAAATGGCCCCGCCCGTTTTTGGGGCGATTTCAGTCAAGTTGAAAATCGCCCAGAAGTCTCTCATAGCCTGTCATGTAAAATCTATTTTTTTCAAATTTCAAAGCTTTCAATACATTCTCTATGGGTGTCTGTGGGCTTGCACTTACGCGCTTTCGTCATACGTGACGTAACCATGAACGTAACTAAGACAATAGCGGCTAGCAGCGTCTCTTTTGCGACCTGCAGTGTGGCGTTATTTTATGTTTTTAATTTGTAGACTTAGTTTACAAACATTCTGCCAACCATGGATTTCCAGTGGTTGGTTTTGGACTGATCTTGTTGATCGTGTACATACCCGCTACGAACGGACTAAATAATGAAAACGCTGCTGGCAGCGGAATCCCAATACAGCTGGGAGACTTGGCTGGATGACAGAGTCCCGGACAGAGAAGTGGAGCCGGCCGGCTTCACCCTGGTCAGAGCGGACCGCGATCCTGGTAAGAGAGCGACTCTGTACCCCGACATTGAACTGCTTTCTGTGTCATTGCGACCTTACTATCTGCCCCGTGAGTTCCCCCAATTGTTTGTTACCGTTGTGTACTGTTGATAATCACAAGTTTACTGGAGAACTGAGACCAAGTAGAGACTTTGGACAGGGTGGATATGGTATAATAAAGGCAGTTTATTCAGAGGTAAAGATATCTGGAATCGCGTGCACGGACTCGTTCGTCAAACTCTTAGGGAGAAGAGAGCCCCGAAAACATTGTGTGCAGACATTTTATACAATAAATGATGTAGGTTGAATCTAGTAGTTCTGATCTTCTGATTGGTCCTGATGAGTTGGGCGACCTCCACTGTTGCATTGGCTCTGAGTCGGGTTCTCTGTCTTCAAATGTTCAGCCTAAAGAGATGGGATTTTTGTGTGTGTGTGTGTGTGTGTGTTTAACAGTGATGATGTGTGTGTGTGTGTGTGTTATCAGTGATGATGTGTGTGTGTGTGTGTGTGTGTGTGTGTCCTCAGAGCAAGAACTCGTGAGTTGGAAGAACTGAGAGACCTATGGTGTGGGTGTTGTCCTTGGCCACCTGCTGACAAGGCTGACAAGATAGGACTCTTTTGTCCATTGTTATAGGATAGGAACAGCATTGATTGAAAACAAACGCCCAACACAAAATGGGTCATGCACAAGATTTTAGTCAGACCAAGCTATAACATTATATATTTACTACGACAGTACATTCAACCAAAAGCTAATATAACAAAGGCATCAGAGATTATTTATAATCTGTCACAGAAACTGGAATCCATCTCCCCAGATCAGTCAATAAATGCTTCTGGTATTGACTTATATGCTGCCCCTGTCTTCATGTTGTTGCTGGACATATCTTTTTTTAAATGTGTGTAGGTCACCTAAATCATCAGAAAAATTGCCCCTCCTGAGAATTTTTTCAGGAGCCGCCACTGGCAATATCCATTCTCTACATCCAAACAGTACTCAGTCAATTTTCAGTCAACGTTGAAGTACTATCTGAACTAGACTACAGTAACACCACTGTTTAGGCTCAGGACCCATAGCCTTATCATCATCCTGTTCATCACCGTCATCGTCATCATCAGTCCATTTCCTTAACTAGAATTGCTGTTAACTGGCTGCTGTCCACTGCATGCGTGAGCCAGTTAAATTTATTGAAAAAATATGAGTAACTTTTAACACACCCCAGTCTTATCTGCATTTTATGTGGTTACAAAAAGTAAAAGCAGAGAGTATTAGAGGCAATATGGGATTCAAAACTTGATTGGAAACAATTGTAAAGGTTTTGGCTTTCTTCTTTGGGTGGGACAAACCATAAATCAGAGGCGTGGGCATGACTGGTTTCTCATTCTGACCAACCTTTCTGAAATGTCTGTTGTTTGAAGTGAAGGATTGTTTGGTGTTATTGTCAGGATTCAATGACCACATTTCCCTACACAGATTCACATCAATCAGTTTGACCTACTCAAAATACAGTGAATAATTCAGTGAACAATAACCATCTGATTTGTTGTAGGCTACAAAGTTCCCCATTCGTAATATCTGAATACCACAGTGACCAAAGCACAAATTTGTTGGTGACTAGAGAGGATATAGTTGTTCTTAGTTTATGGGAATCTATGCAAATCACCACAACATGGTGTATCAACAGATAAACCATTTTATATTAATTTATCAAAATGTAACAAAATAGATTGATTGCCTTGATCATAATAAAAGAAAGGGAAAATACATGTATGTTATAGGCACAGCAGATACATAAATTGATCTGCATTCCCATTTCAATTGGCTTGCTGCTCAATAGAAGGGGCCTATTAATTTAGGTTGAACATTCAGACCCTTACAGCTAGAATTTAATTGTATAGAATGAATGGACATAACCCTCCAATTTTTTAAACTATAGTAAACAGTATTTAATTTGCATATATCCTGCCCATTCCCCTCCCCCATATCCCAATTTGTGCCACCCATAAGTAAGAAACCTACATGCCAAGTATAGACATATATTGTGTTCCCTACATATTATAGAAAAGAGCAGAAGTGCTGAACTATCTGTAGTCAGTCAGTCAGTCAGTCAGTCAGCCAGCCAGCCAGCCAGCCAGCCAGCCAACCAACCAACCAACCAACCAACCAACCAACCAACCAACCAGTGCCTACCTACCTACAGGCTATGGAACATTTGCTCTTTTAGTATTTCTCTAGTATGTTTCCTGAAGGAGAAACTCCCAGTAATGGACACCAAAAATGGTCATATCACATTATCTGGTGTACAATCTGTAGCTAACCTGAACCCAGCCATCACCCTGGGTTTGTTGGTCAGCTGCCAGTTCAGCATCCTCAGAGCTCTGTTCTACATCCTGGCCCAGATGCTGGTTAGTGTTATAGTGTTGGAAGTCAGGCCAAAAACCACAGATTCACTTGGTGTTAAGAAAGTAAGTGTGGTGCATGTGATTCCAGTTTATGGGATTAATGCCTTGTAACTGAAAGGGTGGTGTTATGTGATGTTTGCTCCACACGTTTGGAAATTTAGTGATGTTTGGGGAATTGTGTGTCTTGCATACCGACGACGGACAGTCACTGACTCAGTAGCCTACCATGAGTTGATCCCAAAATAATTTACATTATACACAAGTTAACTTGGGATTTAAGTGAAAACTGAATTTCCATGTTAATGGAGTCCTTTGTAGCATATGCCGCTCCAGCTCAGGCCTCTGTACAGGAGTTGCAACACGTTGACAAGATTTAGATTTCAATGTCCTCTAAACGTGTTAGCCATGTATTGAATCAAGAGCGGCACGTTCATCAAACAGCTCTATGCATTGAGTTAATGTGTTTTCCTCTAATTTTGTCCTTTTATAATAAGCTCTCCCTTCCTGGCAGCCATTGTTGGAGCTGAATGAAACAGAGCCGCCTTATCTTTCAACTCCCTCTGCTTAAATACATCCTTGGAATGATGGTAATTCCATTGTATTTTCTGACGGTTATGCGGGGCGAGACTAACTAAATGCTTCCCTGTTCTCTTCTCTTGTAGTTTAATGGAATCAAGGTTTTGGCATAGAATTTATTCTCACCCTCCAGCTTGTGCTGTGTGTCATAGCAACCACTGATAGAAGGTGGAGTGATGTCTCAGGTTCTGATGTCCTGCTGTTGGCAATCGGGCCCTTAGTAGGTCTTGGACACCTTGTAGGGGTGAGTAAATCAAAGCCATTATATTGTTTTAATCTACCCTGGAAACGATTCATGCCTTGCAGTGCAGTGGTATAACACACAAATTGGATAATTTACCTCACTAGTCTCAACGCCAGCTGTAACACACCTGGGTCATGTTCAGTAGGGCACACCATAGCAAAAATGTTTTCAGACACTAAATGAAAAAAATCTGTATTCTTATTGGAAGAGTTCAGGTAGTTTCTTAACATTTCAAAATGTTGCCCACCTACTGAACACTAGCCTAATGTTCATGTAAAGGTAAATAGTCCACTGGTCTTTCCACTCAATTCGGCCCATTAATTCTACAGATCAGCTACACAATGCAATCATCCTGAAAGCCTTGGACGACCACTGGGTATGTTTTGAATATGAACAGTCTGTAACTAGCATGTTTCAGTTTGGACCAGCGAGAGATGCTAACCCTATGCTTGATCAATCCTATGAAAATGAATGCCTTTGTGTCAATTGTGTAATGAAAATTGTCCTTTGTTTTGGTACCTTCTAGGTGTACTGGACCGGGCCTATAAGTGGAGGTCTGGTGGCGGCTCTGCTCTGACTTCCTCCTCCATCCCAGGTCTGAGAAGATGACAGATCGCCTGAAGGTCCTGTGCTGTGGCCCAGACGTAGAGGACCTAGAGACCAAAGTGGAGGAGGAACCCCTACTGGAGGAGGCCGGTGATCTTGCAGGGACTAAGTAACAGTGTTCAAATAATACTAGACGTATAAGATACCGTTTTGTATTTGTCTGTGATGACTGATACACCCTGTAGCATGTTTGGCTTCTTGTCAGAAATAAAGCATGGTCATCCATTTGAATGTCCTGTTTTCAACTTTAACAATCTTTAATTTTAATTTCTAAATTTAACATATTGATATTTGACAAATGTAAATCAATTGAATTTTAGAGAATGTGTTTTAAGAGTTCCTGTATAGTCATGTTTCTTGGTCACTTTTCAGTGTAACAATTTCTGTTTAGAACTGAGGTACATCTTTTATGGGGTGACTGAGAAAAAGGGGTGAAACCTCAAGTTCCTTGTTAAAGTTGTATTTCCTGTTACTTTGAATGTCAATGTCAGCATCCTCCCACTTTCACTAGGGACCTACAGTAACACTGTGGTATAAATGCTGCTTGGCTTGCATTGTTAGTATCACTGAAGACACAACACAAACACCACCCAACACCACATTGAGAAGTTGGGCATTTTGGCGGGCCGTTCTAGCAGAGTTAATCGATATGATCCTCTTCATATTCATCGGTATCTCCTCTGCTATCGGGAATACCCATAACTCCAAGCCTGACCAGGAGGTTAAAGTAGCGTTAGCCTTTGGTCTGGCCATCGCCACGCTGGCCCAGAGTTTGGGCCACATCAGTGGAGCCCACCTGAACCCAGCCATCACCCTGGGTCTGCTGGTCAGCTGCCAGATCTGTGTGTTCAAGGCGGTGTTCTACATCCTGGCTCAGATGCTGGGAGCTGTAGTAGCTAGTGCCATAGTGTATGGAGTCAAGCTATCAAAACATTGATGCACTGGGGGTCAATCATGTGAGTGGACATCACTTTTGACTGTTTTCAGATTATTGGCTAATATGGAGAGATTTCAAACAATAACAAAGCGGTCACCCGGCCACTGTTTTAGGAGAAAGCTGAGTGCTGGGTCTGGGAAAATGTAATCACTTTCAAATTTATATACAGCACTATGGATGCAAAGATTGACCATCCATGTTAACAAAATAAAAGTTTGAACCATGTTTTGAGGCTATATAGTGTTTGTTTACAATTATGTTGTAAAAAAAATACATTAAAAAAAGGAGTTAAATATGCTTATATTTGGGGTTCTGATGGGGATTTATAAGTTATATTCTTCAGGAATCAATGGATATATACTGTATAATTAATTTAAAAGTACACAAAATGATGTACCAATTGCAGATTTCCACTTTAAGTATTAAAATGCTGAAAATATACATTTGGAATTAATTCATTTAAAATGGAATTGATTCAGACATGTTGAAGACATTTGGGAAAATTGTAATCTAAATTAAGCTGACACTCATGTACTTTAAATCAGACTGACTTAATCAACGCTTGAGCCGTCATACATCTCAGATCTCATCTCAGATACCACCTAATGTTTCACAAGCTCATCATATCCTCTCCTGTCTTTTCCAGCTAAATAAGATAAGTGTAGGACAAGGGTTCGGCATCGAGTTCCTGGCTACCTTCCAGCTGGTCCTGTGTGTCATAGCAGTGACTGATAAAAGGCGTGGGGATATCACCGGCTCTGCCCCTCTGGCCATCGGGCTCTCTGTGGGTCTGGGACATCTTGCAGCCGTAAGTGAATAATGCTACTCAAACATGTGTGCTGATAAACATGTCTTCAGCTTTACACTGTAGATCTACAGTAGATTATAGTCTTGCTATAAACAAACTTCAGGAAAATCCATAAAATCTCCAGTGTAAGTGCAATATAGTGGTACAGTATAGCATAAGCATGCCATAAAATGCAAGGGGTAATCTTAAAGAGGACACTCCTGTAGTGTGTGTTTAACATTAAGTTATAGGAACTGAGAGGAATAGATTGCATCTCTGCAATAGATTACCGTGTTTTTTTGTGGCCTAACTGCCCACCGTTCAATTAACTATTGTCTTGTCATCACAATAAGAATAGGATAAACATGGGCTATTATTTAAAATGTATTTTAATTTCTGATGGAATTGTGCATGTGTTTGCCTGTGTTTTCCCATGCTATCACGCTGAATATGAATGACTGGTATAGAGTTTGTGAATTGTTTCTATCCTCAGATCAGTTTCACTGGATGTGGCATTAATTTTAATTATCCAGGTTGGTCTCATTCAGACAAAAAAAAAGAAAACAGAGACGTGTTCCACATAGCAATTCTCTTCGTTCAGTACAGATATTTAATTGTTGGTGATTTGGACGGAGTCAGGCGCAGGAGGGGTAAATCACAGAATAAATTGTTTATTCTGAAAATACAGCGGTACGCAGCAATGCGTAAAACAATTACAGTGCGGTATAACGGCGCACTGGAGAAAACGAAACACACAGGTGAATATCCCGGCGATACAGTACAAGAAGGCTCCACCGAGCTATCGACACCTTCACATGAAACAATCACACACAAAGACATGGGGGGCAGAGGAAATACTTATACCGGGACTGATGAGGGGATATGAACCAGGTGTGTGTAAAAACAAGACAAAACAAATGAAATGATGAGATGAGGAGCGGAGTGGCTAGAAGGCCGGTGACGATGTCCAGAGGGGGCAGAGGGACCTCCCGCACCTCAGACTCCTGGAGCGGACCAGCCACCACCGGCCTGAGGAGAGATACGTGAAACGAGGGGTTAACACGGTAATCAGGAGGGAGCAGCAACCTATACGTAACCTCGATAACTCTCCTCAGGACTTTGAACGGCCCCACAAACCGCGGGCTCAGCTTCCGGCAGGGCAGGCGGAGGGGCAGGTTCCGGGTCGAGAGCCAGACCCGATCACCCGGTACAAAGACAGGGGCCTCACTGCGGTGGCGGTCAGCATTGGCTTTCTGGCGACGCACAGCGCACTGGAGGTGGACATGGGCGGTGTTCAACATCTCCTCCGCGTGCCGAAACCAGTCATCCACCGCAGGAGCTTCGGTCTGGCTCTGATGCCACGGTGCCAGGACCGGCAGATACCCTAAAACACATTGAAAAGGAGATAGTGGAGGAGTGGCGGAGAAAGTTCTGGGGATATTCGGCACATGGCAAGAACACTGACCACTCACCCGGCTGGTCCTGGCAGTAGGACCGCAGGAACCTACCCACATCCTGATTCACCCGTTCCACCTGTCCATTAGATTCGGGGTGAAACCCAGAGGTCAGGCTGACCGAGACCCCCAGACGTTCCATGAACGCCTTCCAGACCCTAGACGTGAACTGGGGACCCCAGTCAGACACTATGTCATCTGGCACCCCGTAGTGCCGGAAGACGTGAGTAAACAGGGCTTCCACAGTTTTCAGGGCCGTGGGCAGACCTGGCAGAGGAAGGAGGCAGCAGGCTTTAGAAAAGCGGTCCACAACGACCGGGATGGTGGTGTTACCCTGAGAGAGGGGAAGATCAGTTAGGAAGTCAATCAATAAGTGGGACCATGGCCGTTGTGGAACTGGTAAGGGATGTAACTTACCCGCTGGAAGGTACCTAGGTGCCTTACTCTGGGCGCACACCGAGCAGGAGGAGACATACACCCTCACGTCCTTAGCCAAGGTAGGTCACCAGTACTTCCCGGTCAGGCAGCGCACTGTACAGCCGATGTCTGGGTGACCAGAGGAGGGGGACGTGTGTGCCCAATAGATAAGAGGATCACAGATAATAGACGGCATGTACCGCAGCCCAGCTGGGCACTGAGGTGGAGATGGCTCTGTGCGTAACGCCCGCTCTATGTCCGTGTCCACCGCCCACACTACTGCGCCACAATGCAGGAGGCCGGGAGTATGGGGATGTTGTCTGTGGGCTTCTCCTCTGTGTTGTACAGCCGCGACAGTGCATCTGCCTTCACGTTCTTTGTGCCTGGTATATAGGACAGCGTGAAATGAAACCGGGTGAAGAACAAGGCCCACCTGGCCTGGCGAGGGTTCAGCCTCCTCGCTGCCCGGATGCACTCCAGGTTACGGTGGTCAGTCCAGACGAGGAAAGGGTGTTTCGCCCCCTCAAGCCAGTGCCTCCACGCGGTCAGGGCTCTGACAACAGCCAACAGCTCCCGATCACCAACGTCATAGTTCTGCTTCGCCGGGCTGAGCTTCTTAGAGAAGAAGGCACAGGGGCAGAGCTTGGGTGGCGTGCCTGAGCATTGGGATAGGATAGCGCCTACCCCTACCTCGGACGCATCCACCTCCACTACGAACGGCAATGATGGATCGGGATGGGCCAGTACCGGGGCTGAGGTGAACAGAGCCCTCAGGTTACTGAAAGCCCTGTCAGCCTCAGCAGACCAGCGGAGCCGGGATGGCCCACCCTTCAACAGAGAGGTGATGGGAGCTGCGACCTTGCCAAAGCCCTGGATAAACCTCCGATAGTAATTGGCGAAGCCAATGAAGCGCTGAACCTCCTTTACCGTGGTTGGAGTCGGCCAATTACACACGGCTGAAATGCGGTCTCCCTCCATCTCCACACCTGAGGTGGTGATGTGGTATCCGAGGAAAGAGACGGGTTGTTGGAAGAACAGACACTTTTCTGCCTTGGCATATAGGTCATGCTCCAACAGTCGGCCCAGCACTCTGCGAACCAGGGACACATGCTCGGCACGCATAGCGGAATACACCAGAATGTCATCGATGTAGACCACCACACCACGACCAAGCATGTCCCGAAACACCTCGTTCACAAAGGACTGGAAGACTGATGGAGCATTCATCAACCCGTACGGCATCACCTGGTATTCATAATGCCCCGTGGTTGTGCTAAATGCTGTCTTCCATTCGTCCCCTTCCCAGGACGCACCAGGTTGTACGCACTCCTGAGATCTAATTTCGTGAAGAAGCGTGCCCCATGCATTGATTCGATAACAGAGGAGATGAGGGGTAGAGGGTAACTATAGCGAATGGTAGTTTGATTAAGTGCACGGTAATCAATGCAAGGGCGCAGACCTCTGTCTTTCTTCTTCACGAAAAAGAAACTCGAGGAGGCAGGTGAAGTGGAGGGACGTACACTACCATTCAAAAGTTTGGGGTCACTTAGAAATGTCCTTGTTTTCCATGAAAACATACATGAAATGAGTTTGAATAGGAAATATAGCAAAATGCATAGGAAATGTAGTCATTGACAAGGTTAGAAATAATGATTTTTAATAGAAATAATAATTGTGCCCTTCAAACTTTGCTTTTGTTAAAGGATCCTCCATTTGCAGAAATTAAAGCCTTACAGACCTTTGGCATTCTAGTTGTCAATTTGTTGAGGTAATCTGAAGAGATTTCACCCCATGCTTCCTGAAGCACCTCCCACAAGTGGGATTGGCTTGATGGACACTTCTTACATACCATACGGTCAAGCTGCTCCCACAACAGCTCAATAGTGTTGAGATCCGGTGACTGTGCTGGCCACTCCATTATAGATAGAATACCAGCTGACTGCTTCTTCCCTAAATAGTTGTTGTATAGTTTGGAGCTGTGCTTTGGGTCATTGTCCTGTTGTAGGAGGAAATTGGCTCCAATCAAGCACCGTACAAATCTGTACAAATCTCCCACTTTACCACCACCAAAGCACCCTCAGACCATCACATTGCCTCCACCATGCTTGACAGATGGCATCAAGCACTCCTCCAGCATCTTTTCATTTGGTCTGCGTCTCACAAATGTTCTTCTTTGTGATCCGAACACCTAAAACTTCGATTCGTTTTTCCATAACACTTTTTTCCAATCTTCCTCTGTCCAGTGTCTGTGTTCTTTTTCCCATCTTAATCTTTTATTTTTATTGGCCAGTCTGAGATATGGCTTTTTCTTTGCAACTCTGCCTAGAAGGTCAGCATCCCGGAGTCGCCTCTTCACTGTTGACGTTGAGACTGGTGTTTTGTGGGTACTATTTAATGAAGCTGCCAGTTGAGGACCTGTGAGGCGTCTGTTTCTCAAACTAGACACTCTAATGTATTTGTCATCTTGCTCAGTTGTGCACCGGGGCCTCCCACTCCTCTTTCTATTCTGGTTACAGCCGGTTTGCGCTCTTCTGTGAAGGGAGTAGTACACAGCGTTGTACGATATCTTCAGTTTCTTGGCAATTTCTCGCATGGAATAGCCTTCATTTCTCAGAACAAGAATAGACTGACGAGTTTCAGAAGAAAGTTATTTGCTTCTGGCCATTTTGAGCCTGTAATCGAACCCACAATTGCTGATGCTCCAGATACTCAACTAGTCTCAAGAAGACCAGTTTTATTTATTCTTTAATCCGCACAGTTAACAGTTTTCAGCTGTGCTAACATAATTGCAAAAGGGTTTTCTAATGATCAATTAGCCTTTTAAAATGATAAACTTGGATTAGCAAACACAACGTGCCATTGGAACACAGGACTGATGGTTGCTGATAATGGGCCTCTGTATGCCTATGTAGATATTCCATAAAAAATCAGCCGTTTCCAGCTACAGTAGCCATTTACAACATTAACAATGTCTACACTGTATTTCTGATCAATTTGATGTTATTTTAATGGACAAAAAAATTGCTTTTCTTTCGAAAACAAGGACATTTCTAAGTGACCCCAAACTTTTGAACGGTAGTGTATGAACCCCTGGCGCAGGGACTCGGAGACGTATGTCTCCATAGCCTCCGTTTCATACTGCGACAAGGGATATACATGACTCCTGGGAGGCACAGCGTCTAACCTGAGGTTTATCGCGCAATCCCCAGCAGGTTGTCCAACCGGATGGCCATGTCAACCAGTTGGTTGAAGGTCAACGTGGTATCCCGGCAGGCTAGCTCCCTTTGGACGTCCTCACGCAGGCTGCACCGGAAGCGGTCGATGAGGACTTGCTCGTTCCACACAGACCCAGCCGCTAGAGTTCTAAACTCCAGGGCAAAGTCTTGCGCGGTCCTCGTCCCCTGCTTCAGATGGACCACCTGGTCGCTCAGCTGGTTCCGCAGGGTCAGGTCCTCTCCTCTCCAGGCACTGGACGACCTGTAGAACCCGATCCATATCTTCGCCCAAGCTGGCTAACATGTTGGAATGCTCCCGGACCCGCTCAACGACTCCAGGCATATTCCCTGCTCCTGCTGACTCCATGCTGTCAGGTGTGTGATTCTGTAGCGGGTGATTTGGACGGAGTCAGGCGCAGGAAGGGTACATCACAGAATAAATATTTTATTCAGCAAATACAGCGGTACGCAGCAATGCGTAAAACAACTACAGTGCAGTATAACGGCGCACTGGAGAAAACAAAACACACAGGTGAATATCCCGGTGTTATAGTACAAGAAGGCTCCACCGAGCTATCAACACCTCCACATGAAACAATCACACACAAAGACAGGGACTGATGAGGGGATATGAACCAGGTGTGTGCAAAAACAAGACTAAACAAATGGAATGATGAGATGAGGAGCGGCAGTAGCTAGAAGGCCGGTGACGACGAACGCCAAAGCCTGCCCGAACAAGGAGAGGAGGCAGCTTCGGAGGAAGTCGTGACACTGGGGCCGATGTGTGGAGGTGTAGCGGCAGCCCTTATCTATGACTTCCTCCTGTATCATAGAAATGCTGACTTCAGTAAGCAGAGGAATGTTCTGGTCAGTAGGCCAGACAAGGAGAATGATGCCCCAGAGGAGGGCAGCAGTAGCCCTGGACCCAGTCAGTGTCCCAGACGGGACAAGTAGACAAGTTGACTAACAAGTAGCCTACCAAATGTTGGAAATTATAAGCAGAAAAATGTCTAAATTGTACTTAAAAACCTTGTTCTGCAGTCTCTGCCAGCCGCTGAAAGATCAAAACATAAAATTAATTTAAACTGTCAGTTTGATTTATGCAGTTATCTACTTTTATTGTTGCTATAACAGACATGTTATATAGTGTTTCTGCTTGTCCTGTGTTGAAGGTTGATACATTTGTACACCTAGGGGACAGTTCAACATTTTCTGTAAAAATAATTGCACCCTCCCCCTCATAAAATTAACAAGAAATAATGTTTACGACCACAAATAACAATAACTGTAGCAAGCCTGTGTTTTTGAACGTAGATATTGACTTTGCCACTTCAGCATGCTTTTGTGGCACAGTCGATGCCACGCAAGGCTACGGGCCAGAAGGTTGAGGATTCGCTGACCACCACGGACGAGCTAACTCTCTCTGCCTGTTTCCTAAGAACTACACTACAATCAGAGCCGGCTGCAGACAATGATCATCTAGGTGGAAATCAGATTTAACATTGTGATGCTATATTTATAATTATACAAATGATATGCAACAAATATATGCAACACCACAATCTGCACAGTTTGAATGCTGGAATTATATTTTGGACGAACGTGCGCCGGTAGCCTACAGGAGACTTTTGAAGTAGCCTAATCAGATTAAAACATTGTGACTAGTTGTGTTTATGCCGCACATAAAAGGTAATGCATTTTAAAAGTTAAATGACCAATATTTAGGCTATAGGCTATTGAAGCGTTATTGGTTCTAGGTGCACAAGGAATAGCTGCTCGGCAGAGCTGTGTTAAGCTTTCCTGAATAACTGGGCCTGCTGGAAGCCTATGTGGCCACATTATTATAGGATGACTTGGGAGAATAAAGATCTGCAACAGACAGCGCATCTCAGTATCAGAACTTAAAATATAGCCAGACTGGCATGCTACTGTGCCTTTGTATACCTTATAAACTGTCAAGAGTAAACCCACAACTGATCCAAATGGAATGAAACATTCAAATCACAGGGCTTTTGCGCTGTTATTCAAATGACATTTTCACAACAGTTTACAGCCTAGAGTAGAATTTTGTACTCACTTGAAAACAATAATGCAAATAGTAATTGCAACATGTATTGTCCCTAATATAAGATAAATATGGGAGCTTTTTGAGCTGTGTGTCTGATGTCTTCACTGTTCTTCATGCTCAATGACGCACCTTGGCCTCTCCACTTATATTGAAAATTGGTGCAGCTTTTAATGATTTTATATATGGTATGATTGCTAGTTAGCATATTGCAGATCTGGATAAATGATCCACCTACCACTATTGTCACTATGAATGGTGGATAGAGGGCAGGATAGACAGTTAGACTGGTAGACTATATTGACCTGTGTGGTATAGTTAGCGCGCGAAAAGCGTAGTGCATAAGGGAAGTACCAATACACCTTGATATAGGGGAGGCGCATGCAAGCAGATGAGGAAATTTGGCTAGGATGGAAGAAATTATATAGTAAAACCCAAAAAGGGCGAATTTAAACCTGGGTGAAAAACACGATACCCTCCCGTGACCAATAAAAAACCACACAACCCTCCCCAAAGCAAAAATATAAGTTAAACAACCCTCCCCTATTTTGGACCACCCACCCCAGTTAATATCGAACTGTCCCTAGGGTATTTACATTTTCTTTGTTTAAGTCTTTGCTTTGTGGAAATAAAGTATTTTTTGTTATTAAATAATATATTTCAACACTTGTCATTGTTAATTTGAACTTTCCTGGACTCAATTACATTCCATTAAGTGGCATTTGGTTTATCTTTCATTTACAATCTGTAGAAACTATGAGAATAGAAAGATTCAGAACTTTTGTGAAACATCACAGCACCGTGGAAAAATATATGGCAGCTAGAAATCAAAACTGGATGGTCTTCAGAGATAGATGGGAGGGGTTGAGGGTAGCTGAAGGCTGGGACTAAAAACAAACTAAAGATAACTAATGTAAAATATACTGTGTTCGTAAAATGTACATAGTAAGTATAAGCTGGAAGTAGAAGCCTACGTATTGTTGTCCATTAGTTTACTCCAATTAGGGGAGGGGTGGCAGGGTTAGGGGAAAATAATAAAGAAGGAAAATATATATTTAAAATTATATATATTTACAAGAAAATATATATGGGGGATTGGAAATGATGCAGACAATTAGATTGATAGAAGCCACAATCTATCTGCAATATTAAAGCTGATCTACCGCTAAAAATACAAAAATATATGTCATTTAGCAGACACTCTTATCCAGAGTGACATACAGTTAGTGCATTCATCTTAAGATAGCTAGGTGGGACAACCACATATCTCAGTCATAGTAAGTACATTTTCCTCAAAGTAGCTATCAGCAAAGTCAGTGCTAGTAGGAAAAAAAAGTAAAGTGTGAATGTTAGTTCAAGAAAGGCCAGGGTGTTCTTTTTTTTCTTTTTTATTCAGTGCAATGTTCAATAGAGTACCTCAAATATGACAACATGACTTCATACGTCCATTAAACACCATTAAACAGTTGGTGGTATGAATTAACCTTGGCTTCATCCAAGGTCATCAGAAGTATGGCACAGGTCATTCCATTCTTTTAAGAAAAAACTGGAACCCCTCTGGAGTCATTCCAAGGTGCCTACAGTAACTGCATCACAGAAACAACATGAGGATGTGACTCAGATAATGGGATATTAAAACAGTACATTTTCTAACAGAATTGTTTTTATGAATACAGCGCAGTGGAGAGGATAGGGAGGTTTAATTTCCATCTTGGCTTGGCAGTATCACAATGTCATGTTCTTCCTACAGCAGCACACATTGCCCGCCTCACGTAATGTACCCCGTTATGGGTATTTAAATGGTCCCTAGCCCACACCCTGGGTCTGCGCTAATCATTGAGTAACGACAAAATGACTTGGACTCCACAGGCAGCTTATCTGAACAGATACGGTAACGTTGGACAGCTAATCTGAACAGATACAGTAACGTTGGACTGGAACTAAAGACATCCACATCCAGCAAGCGCCCCCAGTGAATACTAGTAACCCACTGGGCACACACTGGTTGAATCAACATTGTTTCCACATCTTTTCAATTTCAACCAACGTGGAATAGAAAAAGAATTGACGTCTGTGCCCAGTGGGAAGTTATTCTTGGCAGAAGCACCAATCAGAGGCAGGAAAAGCTCTGTGCTTGAATGAACATCCTCTCTGACCGCTCCTATTATTTTGCTCTGTATGCGGGAATCATTAACCTTGAATGTTGTCAACCCAGATACTATTGCAGCCCCTGGAGGACCAAGGTATACAATCTGTAGCATTTACCGGATGTGTGTCTGTCTGTTCCACATCTAAATGGAAATGAACAGTGGCCTACAACAGAATCCGATATCAGTGGAATTAGATAACTACAGAAAGTAGGCTAGTTGGTGTAAGAATGTAAAATGATATAACTTACATATAAGTTCAAGTTCAAGTTTATTTGTTATATGAACAGGATACACATGGTGTACACAGTCCAATTATATTCTTACTTGCAGGTCCCCTCTCGATAATGCGACAACAATAAGAAATAATACAAAGTTAAAATAAAGCTAATGGAATAGAATATAATAAAACATTAGCATAAGTATAAATACAGTAAGGCACTGAACAATTTACAGTACATTATTTACACCAGGGTTGGGGTTTAATTCCATTTCGATTCAAGTCAATTCAGGCAGTACACGCAAATTCCAATTCCAATTCTCTTCAATGATTTTCAATGAGGAAGAATGTGAATTTGGATTGGAGTTTGGTAAATTTTCTGAATTGACAGGAATTTAAATGGTATTGACCCCAACCCTAATTTACACGTGTGTTAGGGGAAGGGGGATTCGGAGAGCAAAGTGTTTAAATTGTGCGGTATTTGGCAGTAATAATCTTATCATAGGATGCTCCCTCATAGGCCCTTCAGTATTACTGCAAGTGACAAGGAACCATTTGGTCATGTTTAGTTATCATACATGACAACCACAAACTGACCCAAATTCATCTTCTTTTTTGATCCTAACCCCTCCGACAGACACACAAACAGAGGTTGCAGAGGTTGGAGGAGGTTTAAGAGGTTAATGTTAAGTGTTCCACCTAAATCTATTTCTTTATCTTACATAAGTAGTCAGGGTGGACCCTAGCATGGAATCTTCCCCTTGACACGCTTGGTACATGCCTTCCCCCGGTTCTCAAAAAGTCACATTCATAGCTTGTCATGTTCCTCAACACCAGAAAATGTGGCAATATTCGATCAGTTATATCAGACAGTTGTCTGTAAACAAACAAGATAAAACATTTATATTAAATAAAGGGTCATTATAAACCATGTCTTCTGCACTACATTGTTTGTATGACGGTGAAAAGCCTTGGTTATTCTGTATTTGCTAAATCAATAAAACATTGATCACAACAAAAAAACTAGCTCCTACTGCTCCTTTGTCTCGGTTCTTGTGATTGCAGTAAATCTGCTCACTGAGAACAACTGGTGCCTGGAATATCAAACACTACTGCGAAGGGAGTGGTTAGAAGAGAAACCTCACCTAGTATTATCACTACTCCCTATGATGTGTCTCAAAGAATCGTTGGTGTTTTCCACCGGGTAAAACCCTTAACGATTCAATACTTTAGCTTATATTAATTGTTCTAGTATGGCAGTGGAGATGTGCTGCCGCACCTCAAGTTAATACATTCAGCCTCTATGCCTCTGATCTGTTTGATGGCAGCATCTTCCTGTCCCGTGCCATGTGAATGGCCCAATAGCCTCTACTTCCATTGTGTGTTTAACCTCTGAGGTCATCTCATTGTGTTGGTCTCCTGTTTTGATGTTTGCCCCCGACAGCACGAACAATGTTGTTTTTGTTGTCCCATCTATCGTTTGTGGCAGAGTTCCTCTCATCAGACTGTTTGGCTCTCATGT